GTTTTGTTCTAAGTTTTGGTATTTTGATAATGTTGGGAGTACTTTGGTAATTTTGGAAAAACCCTAGTTGTATTAATAAATTAATTTGTAATAATTTGTTTGAGGAAATTGGGGAATATGGTTAAATTCATGAAATTGAGGAATTCATTGATTAAATGGTGTAGTTGGATAATTTAAATCACTCACTTGTTGAATTGTTGTTATATTTATTTCCAGTCTAGAAATAAACTATTTTGGGGCTATCGGTGGGGATAGTCGTGTTTGTTGTAGACATTGCATGTGAATTAGGAAATTGAAACTAATCAATTTGTTTTGTCATAAGTTTAGACTATTGAATTATACAGAAAATACATGTGTTGATTGAGCATTGCATAGCATATTGTTTGGGAGGAGATAGGGGATGTACTCCACGGTTTAGGAAAGATAGGGGATAGACCTCTAAACCGGATTTTGTTTGGAGGAGATAGGGGATGGACTCCATTAGCATCACTATTATGTGTGCTTATTATATTGAAGTGTTTTTACATGTTATTGATACAGCACTACAATGTGTATCAAACGGGAAGTATGAATTGTTTTGATATGAGCCTGAGTCTCATTTGTTTTGTTGATATTGAAAGTAATGTGAATATGATATATAGTTCACTGTTGTAAGTTTGGCCAGGTTCTGAGCCATGTTGATAATAATGGAAAGTGAATTGTGGTCTTAGACATTGTGTCATGAGACTGATATAATGATACAATTGATTATCTTGGTTAACCATCTATTGAATGCTATAGCTTTATTCAATGCTTATATTTGGTTTAGTATATTTTTCTACTGGGCCTGTGGCTCACCCTTTATGGGAACATCATTTTCAGGTTCAGGTGATAAGCTACTCCAAGGACTTAGCTTGGAAGGTTGGACTTTTTGGATTTTGAAGACTATCTTTTAGTTAGTTTTGTTTTTATTTGATAGTACGTGTAAACATTCAAGCCTAGGGCTATACTTGTATTTGAGTTAGAACTCATACTTTTGTGTCCAAGTGTTGGTTTGGAAAGATGTAAGCCCGTAGGGCATTTAATTTGATGTTACATGTAATGCTTTTATTTAGGTAATACTCTGATGAATGAGATAATGAATTGTTTCTTTAAATATGGCATGTTCAATGATTATATATAATGGGTTTATTTTGAGGGCGTGACAATGGGTCAGATAAAGGGAGGCATATATTGACTGAAGCCCAAGCAACTCTGAAAATGGGAAAAGTGTTGGAGTAAATTACAATGGGAAGGAGGATGAAGTGCTTCACCAGATTGTGGAGCTTGAGCTTGAGGATAAGCAAAGAATGAAAGGGGGAAACAGTGAGGGCATAAAGCACCTACTAATTGGGAGAAATAAAAGAGTGTCATCATTTTATTATGCAGTTATTAACATGGAATGCAAAGAGGTTGGGCCAGAAGGAAACAAAGGAAAAAAGGTAGACATGGAACTATTACAGGAAACCAAGAAAACTGAGATCTTGGAGGCTAAAGTAAGGTTATTATTGGCCTAAGGATAACATGGAATTTACTGACTGTCGATTCTGAGGGTGCAGCTGGGGGATTACTTTGTGTGTGAGACCCAGGGATGTTTCAGATGCACAGTGTTTGAGTAGAAGGAGGTTCATATTGCTCTCAGGTACCTTTTTTAATTCTTTTGAGTATGCATTGTAAATGTTTATGCACCCTAATGAAGTGAGGTTAAGAAACAAGCTCTAGAAATAGCTTAGTAAAATTAAAGAAGGATTTTCCTAAACCTTGGCGCTTGGGTGGGGATTTTAATGAAATAAGGAACATTGGTGAAAGGAAAGGGTGCTCTAGAAGAGACAAGGGGATAGGGAGTTTAATGAGTTCATGAAAGTTGTGAAGTGTCTACTTGCCATTGAGTGGTAAAAAGTTTACATGGTGTAACTCAAGAGAAGGTTTGTTTTGGTTAAATGATTTGATGAGAGAAATAGAAAGGAAAAGAGAATAGAAAGAAAAAAAGAAAGAATTGATAGAATTTGAATTCCAAGCTACATTTGGTTAAGTTGGGAATTGAAAAAAATAAAGAGCCTAACTAAATCCAAAACACAAAAAGTGGATTGTATTTCCCTCTTATTTCTTTTCTATTTGTTTTTTCATTATAACTAAACAAAAAGTGATATTACATTTTCTTTTTCTTTTCATTTCTTTTATCAATCCTCCAACCGCACAGTCTAAGCTCTTTTCTTTTCCATTTCCCAATTCAACCAAATGTATCTTAAAATTTGATCCTATCAATTATTTCTTCTTTTATTTCTATTTTCTTTTCTGTTTTCATTTTCCTCATCAAATTCTCCAGCAACACAACGTTAATAATTTTACTTTCATTACTTTTGCTTTTTTGTTTTTTTGTCTTTCCTAATTGTTTTGTCCAAGTGATTGAAATTAACTTTAATATTAAAAAAACACATTCATGTATTCTCTTTTGTTTGCTGATAAAACAAAAAACAAAACAAAATAAAACGTTTACAAGATTAGCCTTCTCAAGCAAGTTAATTGACTCCTTATTCCCTCCCTTTGTTTTCTTCCCATACAACATATGTTCTTTTACAAATTTTTTTGGGTACAATATTCTTCTGTTATTCACTAAGAGAAATGCCATATGTTGGGTAAATTACACTTAGTAACCTTGCATGTTTATCAAAATTCCACCTTGGTTTAATTTTGAAATTCATTTTAGAAGATAAATTATTAAAAAGAGTTTTAAAATTATAAAAGCTTGTTTGTTATGAGTTTTGAAATTAGTTTTTGAGTTGTATATTTTGAAAGTAGTTTTTAAAAATTTACAAATTAAAACTTCTTTTAGTTAGGAGTTTTCAAACTAGTTTTTAATTAGAGTTTTTTTGGGTCTTGTATTTTTTTTTGTCGTTATAGTCGAAACTTTTACCATATTATAGTCAATATTTGTTTACTTTTGTTTACATGCGTAATCAAAAACTTTTTACAATATTATAGTCAATTTTATTTTTATTTTTTTATTGTTATATTATATATATATATATATATATATAATATATATATATATATATATATTATTTTGTTTACTTCTTTTACATAGGTAATCTAAATGTAACTTTGTAAATAGATCTAATATAGTCTATATGATAGAGTTTCATATGTCTATACTAGTTTGTAAGAACATTTTTAAAATTTTAAAACTGCTTTTTTTATTATATATTACTCATTATACTACATTTAAAACGTTTCATATATTTATTATATTTGTTTTTCATTTCTTCACATTTTGTTGCTGTTTACGTATATTTTTTGGATTGCCTATATATATCTAAAGCATAACAAATTATTTGGACATTACTTAGAAAAAAAATCAAAATCACTTTTCTTTCTACTACACATCATCAATCATGTTTCTCTTTCCTCTCTTTTTTTCAATCACATATTTCTCTCACACACATTTAACTTAACTACAATAAAATATCAAATCTCCTAACTCCAAAACTCTAAAATTATTTTCAAAATATACAATCAAACAAATTTCTAATTTTCTAAACTTTCTCTAGAAAATTATTTTGGATAATACTCAAAACATAAACCAAAAAGGCCAAATTTAATTTTTTTTTTTATTATGAGTTTAAAATGAACATATGAGTTTTTTAAAAATTTAAAACTTATTTGATATGAGTTTTGAAAGAGTTTTAAAAATTTAGAACTTATTTGTTTATGAGTTTTGAAAAAAGTTTTAAAAATTTAAAACTTATTTGATTATGAGTTTTGAAAAGAGTTTTTAAATGGTTGAGTTGAATATATGTTTCAAAATCCAAAACCAAATAGGTTTTTGGGTTTTGGGCTGTCAAATGCGTTTTGAAAAGTAAACCAAACGGAGTCTTAGTTTGATCTTTTTACTTTCAATTGTAATTGTCAACCCTTAATATTTTAAATCAAGTTCCAATCTCATCCTTCCAATGTCATCCTTTCGTTCATCTACAATTAATAAAGCTAATGAAAATTGAAAATAAATGAACTAAAGTGACCTTTGGTGAAAGCGTGAGGATTAAAGTGAGATTTTAGCAAAAGTGTAAAGGTGCTAATGAGACAACAAAAATATAACATATGTTTCAAATGACAAATTCTGTCAACTTTGTTAACGACAAATGGACGGAAAGGTCGGATTACAATATGACTTAAAGTGTAAAAGATTGACCTGGTTGTGCTAGCAGATGATTTGGTGTTCATCTTAGTGCCAACCTAGTTGGGATCTTGATGATTCACTGTGATGCTTTTTTCACTCTCTTTATTGATGTACGTTATCATACTTTATATATTTTTCATCAATAAAGTTTTCTTTTTGTTAGTCAAAAAAAAAAAGTGCAAAAGATTGAGAGTTACAATTGAAAGTGCTGGGTTAATAAGGATCAGACAAGCAATAGTAAGGAGGGTGGGGGTGCAACTGGGACAGTTGAAAATAGCCCTAGTATATCTGAAGCTCAGGAGCTGGAGCCCAGTTGTCGACCTGCACAAAACAAAAAGGGGAAGAAGAATGTTAGTTTTTCAGCTAAACATGGGTACTTACACCCCAAAAAGGGTCCTCTTAGTCTACTTCGAAGATATGAGCGTAAAGGGGCCTCGACAAGCAAAGTAGTGCCAAAAGCTGCAGTGTGGAGAGCAGCAGCAGCAGCAGCAGCCATCTCTCTATTAGCTTCAGGTGAGAATGGGTCAGATAAAGGGAGGCATATATTGACTGAAGCCCAAGCAACTCTGAAAATGGGAAAAGTGTTGGGAGTAAATTACAATGGGAAGGAGAATGAAGTGCTTCACCAGATTGTGGAGCTTGAGCTTGAGGATAAGCAAAGAATTGAAAGGGGGAAAACAGGTGAGGCATAAAGCACCTACTAATTGGGGAGAAATAAAAGAGTATCATCATTTTATTATGCAGTTATTAACATGGAATGTAAGAGGGTTGGGCAAGAAGGAAAAGATAGGAAAGAAAGGTAGACATGGAACTATTACCAGAAACCAAGAAAACTAAGATCTTGGAGGCTGAAGTAAGGTTATTATGGCCTAAGGATAACATGGAATTTATGACTGTGGATTCTGAGGGTGCAACTGGGGGATTACTTTGTGTGTGGGACCCAGGGGTGTTTCAGATAGCACAGTGTTGTAGCAGCAGGAGGTTCATATTGCTCTCAGGTACCTTTTTTAATTCTTTTGAGTATGCAATTGTAAATGTTTATGCACCTAATGAAGTGAGGTTAAGAAACAAGCTCTGGAATAGCTTTGTCAAATTAAAGAAGGATTTTCCTAAACTTTGGTGCTTGGGTGGGGATTTTAATGAAATAAGGAACATTTGTGAAAGGAAAGGGTGCTCTAGAAGAGACAAGGGGATGAGGGAGTTTAATGAGTTCATTGAAAGTTGTGAAGTGTCTGACATGCCATTGAGTGGTAAAAAGTTTACATGGTGTAACTCAAGAGAAGGTGAAAAGTGGAGTCGAATTGATAGAGTATTAGTAGATCCGAAGTGGCTTGAGGTATTTAACTTGAAGTTGTGGGGTTTGCCTAGGCTACTCTCTGATCATAGTCCTCTCCTAGTGAAGGAGGATGGTCGGGACTGGGGGCCCAAACCTTTTAGGGTACAAAATGTTTGGTTCCTTCATAAAGCCTTCAAAGCTTTCTGGGAGAGCTGCTGGAAGGAGGCTAATATAGTGGGTTGGGCTAGCTTTATGCTCCTACAAAGGCTAAGAACTTTGAAAGTTGGTCTTAAAAAATGGAATGTAGAGGTGTTTGGGAATATAATCACTAACCTAGAAGCAGCAGAAGCTGACCTGCATAAGTTAGATCTTGTTGCTAAGGTTAGAAAGCTTGATAATGCAGAAAAAGCAAAAAGAAAGGAGGTTAGGGAAGAGGTGTGAAGGTTGAGCAAGATAGTGGAGAGAATATGGATCCAAAAATCAAGGATGAGTTGGGCTTTGCAGGGTGACAAGAACACTAGATTCTTTCATGTGATGACTAAGTGTAGGCAAGTAAGGACTAAGATATATTCTATTTTAGAGGGTGAGGTGGTATATGAGGAACCTACTCAAGTGAAGAGAAAAGTGTTTGAATATTTCAAGCGTCATTTTAATGAAGACTGTGGAGGAAGACCACAGTTAGGAGGGAGTTTCAACTCAGTACAAGGAAGTTGTGGTTTTGACAAACTTGAAGCAATGTTTTCAGAGGCTGAGATTAAAGATGCAGTGATGCCTTGTGATGGGAACAAAGCACCAGGGCCAGATGGTTTTAATATGGGATGTTTTCAAAAAAATTGGAAAGTGATGAGGTGTGATGTGATAAACTTTTTAAATGAATTCCATAAGAATGGAAGGTTGGTTAAGAGTATCTATAGCTCCTTTATAACTCTTATACCAAAGAAAGAGAATCCTAAAAGGCTAACTGATTTTAGGCCTATAAGCTTGGTGGGGTCAATATATAAGATCTTAGCAAAGCTGCTATCTCATAGATTGAAAGAAGTGATGCCACACATAATTAGTGAAACTCAGACAACATTTCTAAGTGGAAGGAACATTTTAGATGGTGTGTTAATTGCAAATGAGATGGTAGATGGGTGGAAGAAGGCAAAGAAGAAGGGTCTAATTATTAAGCTGGACTTTGAGAAGGCATATGATTCCATTAATTGGGGGTTCTTATTCCATATGATGTCTCAATTTGGGTTTGGAAATAAATGGATCAGTTGGATCAAGGAATGTGTAACATCTGCTAGAATATCAGTGCTTGTTAATGGGTCTCCAACTGAAGAATTCAGTCCGGAAAAGGGTTTAAGACAAGGTGACCCTTTGTCCCCTTTCCTGTTTAATTTAGTTGTAGAAGGGCTACATATTTTATTGTCCAGAGCTCAAGCTCTTGGCCTGGTCCAAGGAGTAAAGGTTGGAACAAATGGTGTTATCTTATCTCATCTTCAGTTTGCGGATGACTCTTTGCTATTCTGTGTAGCAGAGGTTGATGATGTGAGGAACTTGAAAAGGGTGCTTAGATGCTTTGAGGTTCTATCTGGGCTGCGAATTAACTACCATAAGAGTGTTGTGTGTGGTGTGGGGGTTTCAGATGAAAACATGGATGCTTTTGTCTCAATCTTGAACTGCAAAGTGAAGGCACTACCAATCAGCTACCTTGGGTTACCTCTAGGGGCTAATCCAAAGAAGAAATCTACATGGAAGCCCATCTTGGATAAAATTAGATGTAGGCTGGCTAGGTGGAAAAGGAAGTTGCTATCTTTTGCTGGGAGATTAACACTTGTTAAAGCTGTCCTATCTTCACTACCAGTGTACTACTTGCCACTTTTTAGAATGTCTGAAGGGGTTGCTAAAGAAGTTGAGAGGCTCCAAGCTACATTTCTGTGGGAAGGATCAGAAATTAACAAGAAAATCCATATGGTTAGATGGGGGGAGCTGTGCAAAAGTGTGAAACAATGAGGGGTTAGGCATTAGGAGGGTGAGAGAGGTCAACCTTTGCTTATTACTAAAGTGGTGGTGGAGGTTTGGGTGTGAGAGTGAAGCTTTATGGAAGAGAGTTATATGCAACAGGTACAAGTTAAAGAATGCAAGCTGGCTGCCTCCCTCTATGCCTGGGAATAATCAGTCAAATGTGTGGAAAGGCATTACAGTTTTTGGTGAACATAGAAACAATCTTCAAGAAGTTTTTGTGAACAATTTTCAGTTGATAGTTGGGGATGGCAGAAGGATTAGCTTTTAGACTGACAGATGGTGTCAGCATCTTTGTTTGAAAGATGAGTTCCCAAATCTATATAGACTGCCCCCAGAGAAAAGTGTTACTCTGAGGGTTATCTATGATAGGAAAGAGTCTCTAGGAGGTTGGAATCTTTCATTCAGAAGAGTGTTGTATGAGTGGGAGGAGGTGGGGCTTCAAAATCTCTTGAATAAATTGGAAGCAGGACCTGCAGTGAGGGCTGATCAAGTGGATAGACCTGTCTGGACAGCATCGTCTTCAGGTCAGTTTTCTGTAGCCTTTTTGTATAGTTCTGCTGCTTGTAATAGTAGCCCAAATCTTCTAATTACTAAGTTGGTGTGGCTTAATTTTGTCCCTCCTAAAGTTCAAGTATTTGGGTGGTTAGCTTGGAAAAATAGAATTAAGACTGTGGAGTTTTTACAAAGAATTGGTGTTTTGTCTGGGAATGGGGCTGATCTGTGTGTGTTTTGCAAGGCTGATTGTGAGTCAGTGAACCATGTTTTGATCTATTGTCCATTTGTGTGGAGGGTCTAGACTGATATATTGAATTGGTGGGGGACTCAAGGGGCATTACCAGGCTTGGTGGATCAGCTGCTGCTATGGTGGCCTGGAGGAAGGATGAAGAGGCTAGAAAGAAAGATTTGGAGTGCTATCCCACTGGTTGTGCTGTGGTCTATTTGGAATCTTAGAAATGAATGTGTGTTTAAGGCAGCTAACCCAAATTTGATGGAGTTGTGTGAATTGGTTAAAAATAGGATTGCTCTGTGGTTGATTCCATATTTGAAAGAGTTCCATTTCTCAACCAATGATTTCATCTGTAATTTAGGGTAGATCAGAACGTGCTTTGGATGTGCTTTGTTATACTGAGCTGGGTGGAGTTTTGATGGGTTTAGTCAGGACATCTCTGTTTTTGCTATCTTGTGAAGAAGCCACTTTTATTCTTGGTTGATGATGTGCAGATTCAAAAGGGGTGAATACTTGGTAGTATGCTGCCGCAATATTTTTTGGTGATTTCCTGGTTTGGTTGAATACCTGTTTCTGATTGATGATGTGCAGATCCAAAAATCATGCAGATCCATCAGCTGTAGAAATGCAGGAACTGGGTGTGTTTGTTGGGAGTTCATGGCTGTGTAGAATGAATTGAAGGGTTGCAGTGTAGGTCATGGTTCTTCTCTGCTATCTGTTTCTATTTGGTTTACCTCTGCCCTGGCTCTGTTTACTCTATTGTTGGGAGGTAATGGTTGTGTAGAATGAATTGAAGGGCTGCAGTGCAGTTCATGGTTTATCTCTGTTATCTATCGGTTCATGGTTCCACAGTCACTTTTGCTCTGCTGCTGCTGGTTCATGTGGAAGGCCTTTGTTTTTTCTGGTTTCTTCTTCCTATGTTTGTTGTTGGTCTCTCACCAACTGGAGCTTGGAGCTTTTGCTAGCTCCAAACTCCTCTTTATTGATGTACTCATTCATAATTTGTATGATCCCATCAATAAAGATTTGTTTTGCCGATCAAAAATAAATAAATAAATAAAATAAGTGTAATTTACATGTTATGGGAAATTCTATTTATACATTACAAATTATTTCAGTAGACACCATTATTTAGTTCTGACATTTGATATTTTTAATTGTTGATTTTTTTACTCAAAACGCACCACAATCTTTCTTTTTTACCCTAACACGCACACAAAAATAGGTTTTAGTACACACCACCATGCACATCACACACAACATGTTCACTTTCACGTCCAGAGTAAAAAGCTATATCGACGGTGACTGATAACATGACACATCATTGGCGGCACTGAAGATACAACCCTCGCGAATTAGACTAAAGAAATTACACTAGCCGGCAACATTGTAACAATACATCGACCCTCGAAAAGATCAACATCGCATTGAAATTGGGAGAAGATCTTTAATTCTCTTCTCTAAAAATCTGTGATCTCACCTTTAAATCTCACTTAATTCAGATTTCCCGATTTGATTTCGATTTGGTTATCTATTTTCATATTTCCATAGCAATTTTGATTTCGAATTTGCTTCAGCATTGGTTGTTTGAACATAATATTATTGTATAACAAAATAAAATTGAACAAATTAAATATGTCTAAACTGTTTATGTTGAACAAAGTTAATAAGTTCAGACATTTTATGCTTAACAAATTCAACTCGTTCGGACTCATTATGTTCATTTTTTTAATTTTTTTTTATTTATTTATGAACAATTTACAGTTGTTTGGCATTAATAATTTGAACAAAATATTTTTCTTCAAATGTAAATATTCTAACATTGTGAAAATTTCAACTCTGGTTATCCAACCGCGTGCTGAACAGAAACGTCCTAGCAACAATACAAATGGAAAAAATAAAAACGCTATAAGCTATAAACTTTTCGTTGTTGCATTGTTTCAAATCAACAATTTGATTTCCATTCATGGTGTCAAATCTTAAAAAATGATTAAATTAATTTAAATGTTCCAAAACCCTAAATATTCGAAGATAACAATGTTTTGAGTTAAGGAGAAGGATAATTCGAGAATAGAATGAAGTGAACTTGTTGATAATGAAGGATATGAGTATAGTGTATTAGATTATAATGGCGAAGATAATAAGTATTGGAAGACGATGATGATGTATGATATATGTTTATGAAGAATGCTACGTACCTCGAAATATTACAGGCGCGAATGGCTCGAAATCTCAAAACGACGTCGTTTTAAGGGTTTTTTTTATTCTCTTACCGGTAAGATAATATTTTCCGTACTATTCGCGCCATTCGCGCTCCACACATTCGAGGCCTCAATCTTTAATGTATGTTTATATGTAATGGTGTGTAAAGAATTTTTTGTATTTTGAGATTATATTCTTTGAATTGATAGAAGACACACAACTATTGTTCTTAATAGTAATTTTACTTGAGATTGTTCTAATGTTGCGTAGTGAGAAGAAACAGTGTAAATAGAATTTTCCAAACGTTATATGTCATTGATTTCTTGTTACTATTTTATATTAGTACCTTTTACATGGATATTTTTGATTAATTTTTTTTATTAGGTGATAATTATTAAGGAATTAATAAAAATAAATAATCTATTATTATGTGAAAAAAATATATATACACAGTAATCCTCTTTACTAAATTTTTAAAGAAAAATGATGTTGGTTGACAACCCATTACTGACCAATTTAGTTTAGACTAGCGATACTCTTTATAGAATGACACAGCATTTTATAATTTTTTATTTCCAATCAAAATACTCATCATTATAGTTTTTAATTATAAATATATCAATACCACATCATTCCAAACGTATTTTATGTATACAAATTTTATTTGTAAATTTTTTTTTCTTCAAATGTTTCCGTTAATAAGCTTGTTTAGTGGAGCTAATGACCGGCCAAGTGTTCAACTGAAAATGACTATCCATAGTTATTATTATTGGACTGAAATCAATATATATTTATATATATATATATATGTGTGTGTGTGTTTATTTATTTACTATTTATTATTGGACTGTAATAAGGTGAGGGTCATAATTGCTCTGCTTTGTTTTATTTCGGTAATACTACTCGCATTAATTGATATGTCAATTAGTATACCAATATATGTTATAACATTATTGTTTCAAAATTATGATCTCACCCATTATATAAATTAAAAATATCCAGTACTTCTAAAATTGTGTCACATCATTTGTTAGTACACTAATTGATATACCAATTGATGCATATAGTATTATTCATTTTATTTTGCTCTTCACCTTAATTTATGGCTGTTAATTGCATATCTCTTTTTCTAGGTAAAAATTTTATATAAGAATTTTCTTTATGTGTTTCCTAAGTATATATTTATACCCCCAAAATATTAGTCTGTTGGGCCGGATTTTGAGTTATAAAAAAATAGTTAACTACTCACCAGTGTTGTTACAAGCACTTGTATACCATTAAATCTTACAAGTGTTTGTATAGATAAAAAAATCTTAAAATTGATAATTAGTGACGTTTTTCTAAATCTGTCGCTAAAAATGATAATTGGTAAAGTTTTTCTATGATGAATTTTAAATTGTTGCTAAAAACTAACCATTAGTGACACTTTTTATAAAAATACCACTTAAAAAAGGATTTTGCGGTAACAATTAAAAATGAATAGGACTTTTTAATGCACCAAAAAATAAAGAGGACTTATTGGTGCACCCATCTTCTTGAGCAAGTTCTTGTTAATGGAGTTGCATTAGCCTACTATGGTTAATATATATATATATATATATATAGTATCTCACTTTAAAGTAATAAAAAAAATCTTTTGCAATGGCTCTCAGTTATATATATTTAAGTTTTTTGTTTGTTTATTTATTTATTTATTTATTTGTTTTTATCTATAAAAGAAGGGAAACTTTATTGATTAAAAAAAAAGCATATATACATATGACGATTATATCAATAAAGAGGAGAGAGTGCAAAAAATATCACAGAATAACTACTCGATTCCAACTAGGTTAACACCGAATAGCATACCCGATCATTTGCTAGCACACACCTCACAATCGATAAGAAACCAACACAAGCAACGCGGGGAACAGGGGGAACAAGACAGCCAAAAAAAAAAAAAAAAAAGTTAAATTAATAGTGTTTTATTTGTTTAAATTCTCGTGCTAAAGTAACTTAACAAAACATTAGAGAAAGACAAAGTTGGCCGGGGACCAAACAACAGATAGCCAAAAACAAATTAATAAACCACCAAATGAACTAGTGATTAGTGAATCTGTTAACATAACTAAATAACATTTTAAGATTCTCTGTAATAATTTTTGGTGCAATAACAATAGAGTGGTTTAAGAGTGACAAACTCCAAAACATATTCAATTGGATGATTTAAGAGGTCATTTGCGACAATGAGATGATAAGATGATTAAGGAGAAAGAGAAAGAGAAGGACAATAAGAGGGACAGAGAGGGTAGTAAGCTATCATTGAAGAATGGCAAACTAGCCAAAAGTAAATCAAAAAGCAAATCTTCAACTAAGGTATCTTTGAAGGAGTTTGTAAATCAGGTGGATCAACTATCTACTGATGATATGCCTAATGTACTTCCCCGCCGGTCTACACGCATTCGAGGCCCCCCCAAATCTCTTTCACTTGGAGATTTTGTGGGACCATGGCAAGGGCCCTCAAATGTAAACAAGAGGGGATTGAGGGACGTAGATTCGGAGGATAGCTCAATTGAGTGTGATTGTGATCTTGGTACAACACAGTTTCGCTGGACTATGGAAATGCAAGCCTCACCTGAGCAATCACCAAAGCAGTGTCAAACACCTAATGCATGGAACACAGCAACTAGAGTGCTAACTGATGTTGAGCAGTGGCCAAAATTGGCCACTGTGTCCCCATTGGTGGAAAACGAAATGATGTTGTCAAATAAATTTGGCTCACTTAGTGCTGATCAAAGGAAAGAAGTAATGGGTTCCAAGCAACGAGAGAGTGATAAGCCCGTGCGAGCTTGTCGAAATGAGGATTCGGTTGATCTACATATGGAAGATGGTAGTGAAGGTCTGGATACACTTGCTATATCAGGTAAACCTCTACAAGTTGGGAGCTCTTTAATTAAAGAAGAGATTAACAAGGTGTCAAAATTGAAGTATAAAATAGGTGCCCATAAGATTGAGAACCAAGTAGATGGCATTTACAATGTCCCTATTGAGATCTCAAAAAAAGGCTTTTCTCATTAGGAAAATACTTTGGTTGGATACTTCATTGATAAAAGATTCTCTTTCCATTATGTGAAAACTTGGGCGGAGAAACTTTGGAAAAATTTGCTTGAGGATGTTGTCTCCATTGACAATGGTTTTTTTATTTTTAAAGTAAAAAGTGAAGAGGCTATGGACACAATCTTGGAAGATGGCCCCTATTATGTTGGGGCTAGATTGATTGTTATTAAAAAATGACAACTTGGACTAAAACTAACAAAGTGTGAATTTTCAAGTATGCCATTGTGGGTGAAGTTGTACAATGTTCCTTTGGAACTTTGGAGTGAAGAGGGTTTAGGTTACATAGCTAGCATCTTGGGAACTCCTCTTTATTTGGATGAGCCAACTTTCAAGAGAAGCAGACTTACGTTTGCGAGAATTTGTATTGAAGTGCCAGCAAATAAAGAGATCCCTAAGTCTTTCAAAATAAATCTTGGCTATGGTGACCCATATGAGATTCAAGTTGAGGTACCAGGGAAGCCCCAAAGGTGTGATGGTTGTAAGACTTTTGGCCATACCACTAATTTGTGCCCTCAAAAGCCAAAGTCTTTGAACCTTCCCTTCTTCAAACATGAGTGGAGAGTCAAGGACACTAAAACACAAATTCCGACTAAATGGGAAGTGGTGAAGAAAAAGAGGAGAGATGGTGGGCAAGGTTCAACGCCATTGATCAACAAAGAGAGAGAGACACAGTCTTCTATTCCCTCAACATCTAATGCCTTTGATGTCCTTGAATCGTGTGATATGGACGAGTTAGGAAATGGAGATTCAAGTCAAGAGTTGAGAAATAGAGGGAGTCCATCTCCAAGTGATCCTAGTTATGGGGAGACTTCAAAAGAGGATAACAGAAGAAAACTTAAAGCGAAACTTCATGACTTGAAGAATGCTAGAAGGAAATTCTGAATCCTTATTTTGTTGGGAATGTTGTGCTTGTTTTCTATAAGCTCAATTTGTTTTTTTGATGGAGTAGTTTATTTTGTTTATTTTTGTACTCCCATCAAAAGCTGTGTGTTGTGTGTTGTGTGTTGAACTTCATTGTATATTTTTCCTTTTTTAGTTATAATATGACTTACTTATCCCAAAAAAAACCGTTACAACGTTATTGCATTAAAAATTATTATATAGAAAATCATAATCCATAATAGACTATCACACATGTATAAAAGTAGAAGTTCGGGCCTATAGATTACCACAACTCACTCTTTTGTAGGTCTCTGTATAAATTATTCATAAAAAATAAAAGAAAAAGATTAATATTATAATTGTACATAATTTCATCATATTTCTTTTTTAAAAAAATAAATGATATATTTTGTAGACTATATTTTTTGTTTTTTTATTTATTTATAGATAAATATAATAAAATCTTGTACTTACGGTTATCAAATCAAATATGATTTTTTAGTAGATACTTCATATTTAAGAATCCACAAAATAAAATGTGTGAATGAGAAGCTTGGCCTCAATATTTATTTATTATTCTATATATATAGGGAGTCCGACTTTTAGAAGAGACGGAGTTTACAACGGATGTCAGATATCCAAATTTGAGAGAGGGAGAGAGAGAGCCACTTTTAAAGAAGAGATGATCATGATTGATGAATGATGGTGATGGAAACTTTTTTAATCATTCACATTATTAACAAGATGAGTGTTTCCGATATATAAAAATTAAAAATTGTTTGAGACCACTAAAACAATGAGCTCTAATAGCTCTAAAAATACTGTATCTCTAATTGATTTGATGTTTTGCTCTTTGTTTTTTTTTTGTTTTTTTTATTTTTTGGACTGCCAGCTCATTAAAGCTAGCTTAGTGGTCCATTTTTAGTGGGATATATCACCACTGATAAAAATTAATGGAATAGAAGAGGTTAAAAAAACAATTGTTTGAAATAAGTATGTAAACTGGCCTTGGCCTAGTAGCTTTGTCGCATCATCCGTGTTCAAGCCTTCCCACCCTTAAAACACGCAAAACACACGAAATGGGACATGTTTTTTTTCCTTTTGCGACACATTTGTATCTTATTATGTACTTTTTCTCTTCATCTGGCACTGTTGTTACTATATAAATACCTTATACCTCATCATATCTTGCATCAACTAGATACAAAATTGAGGTGGCTGGCTCTCTCTCTCTCTCTCTCTCTCTCTTTTGCTTGTTATTCTTTCTTCTTTTAGCTTAATTCTCTTGTGATATATATATTTTTTTATTTATAACTCAATATTCGGTAACTGTTGATTAGATTATAGTGCAGAAGATGGAGAGCCACACATGCGCATACTACTATGTCACCTCGCCATCAGGATCGCCAATGTCATCGCCATCACCGTTGCCATCATCGGCAGCACACTCACGCTATCAATCAGCTTCTGATGTTCTCGTCCAAGCTCCCTCCGATCTCGAAATCCAAGAGTCCATGCCTGGTTTAATTGAAGAGTAAGTGGTTATTATCCCCTTGTTTGGTACAACTTATTTGAAATTATTAGGATTTTTTTTTTCTTTTTTTAGAATTTTGTGTGACTGTGATTACTATGGAGTTTTTTTTATTTAATTTATTTAAACGGCTTATAATTTATATATATATATATATATTTGGAGTTTGTAAGTAAAAATAACTTAAATAAATTTAAAAAAAATTGATTATAACTCTATTTGGTGCAACATATAAGCAATGATTGAAGGGTGTGTAGTTCAAGGCATTGTAGAATGGAATTCGAGGCACAGTAGTTTAGCTTGCTGGTTCAGAGTTTTGTGGCTGATCTGTTTGGGTGATGATCTGTCTTCTAGTCTGTTCTTTTTTAGTCTATTTTTCTATTCTCTTTCTTTTTAGTTGGTTTCTCACCCCCTGAAACTTCGAGCTTGTGTTAGCTCCGAACTCCTCTTTATTGATACTTTCTATTATACCTTGTATGTTTCCATTAATAAAGATATTTTGCCGATCAAAAAAAAATATAGGGTTGCTTATAAATAATAAATAAATAAATAAAAAGCTCATTTTTTGGAAGTCTATGTGAGCCTGAGCTACAAATAGCTTAAATAAATTTTAAAATAATTATCATCAAGAAGCTTGTGGCGAATGGCTTTAGCTTGTACTTCTGATTATTATATTTCAATTTCAGAGATCCGCAACAATTGGTATCAGAGCCCGGGTGGAGAAAAATCGAGTTTTTTCCGAAAGTGTCCAGATTTCGAAGTGGTCGAAATCCACTTTTGAGCATACCAGGAGGAAGGTCAGGAGGAGAGGAGTCCAAAACTTCAAACCACAGGCCAATCGGAGGTCTAACGCGCCTCCACGCGCCCCCTGAATATCGCGAGTGAAGGCCACTCGCACCCACGCGCCCCACGCGCCGACGAAGGAAGAAGACGAGTGGGGGCGCGCGTGAAGCTGACGTCAGGCTGACGTCATCCTGAGCCGAGCCGAGCCGTCGAGCCGTTGACCGCGCCGCTGACCAGGCCGAGCCGCGCCGCCAAGCCGCCGTTGACCGCGCCCCTGCGCCGTTGACCGAGCCGCTGACTGCGCCGTTGACCAGCCGATCCGGAGGAAGTATCTGGTGCTTCTCAGGCGCACTAGATGCAGCAGATCTGAACCGTTGAAACTGTTTTTGGCTAGATCTAGGCCATTCGGAGTCCGTTTTTGGCGATCCAATAGTGAGTTCCAACTATTTGGAGTATTTCGGACACATCCGTACGGTTAGTTTTTGAATCGGAGGCATTCAAACTCTTTTGGCTAGATCTAGGCCATTCGGAGTCCCTTTTTTGGCGATCCAATAGTGCGTTCCAACTATTTGGAATATTCCGGACCCATCCGTACGGTCAGATTCTTAAATCAGAATTTCTTTAAAAATGGAAGAAATTTACAATGGCAGGAAAAGGCGCAAGTTTCATGATTGAGCCTTTTAATGGCAGTAATGACTTTACCCTGTGGCAGCAAAGGGTGAAAAACATTTTAACACGAGAAGGTCTGGTGAAAGCTCTTCTCAAAAAGTCCAACAAACCGGAAGACATGAAGGATGACAAGTGGAAGGAGTTGAGGGAATTGGCAAACAGTACAATTCAGTTGTATCTCGGGAACAACACACTCCGGGAAGTCATCAGTGAAGTTAGAGATGAGGTACAAGTCAAAGTCTTTGACAAACCGGTTATCTCTGAAGAGGCAGCTATATACACTTAGAATGCCAGAAGGTGCGAACCTCACAGAACATCTGGACGAGTTCAATAGGATCACAATGGAATTGGATACCATTGGAGACAAGACCCAGGAGGAAGATAGGGCTATGATCTTGCTGGTCTCTCTACCTGCATCATATGAGCATCTCAGGACAACTCTATTGTACGGGAAGGATGCTCTTGGACTGGATGAGGTGATTGCTACGCTCATTTCTCATGAGTCGATGAAGAAACAGGAAGGTAGCAGTAGCAAACACCCAGAAGAAAATGCCATGGTTGCCTCAGAAAATGAGCAAGGCATAGGTAGGTCCAATGATAGACGGGGTAGATCCAAATCAAGAGGACGTTCGCAATCAAGGTCAGGCTTCAGGAGAAAGTGTTATTACTGTGATCAGGAGGATCACCTCATAAAAGACTGTGCAAAGCTCAAGGAGGACAAGGCACACAAGGAACAGGCGAGCTCATCAAATGTCACTGTTGCAGTAAATGCTAAGGATGAGTATGCATTTACAGTTTCGTCGAGTATGACGAAACCTGACTGGATCTTAGATTCCGGAAGCACATATCATATATGCATGGATAAGAAACTTTTTTCTACCTACCAAGCCAAGGATGGAGGTATTGTTCGAGTGGCTAACAACACTGTGAGTAAGATTGTTGGCAAGGGAACAGTACGGCTGAGAATGGAAGATGGAAAAATTTTCACGTTGGATGGAGTCCGACACGTGCCAAGACTGAAGAAGAATCTAATTTCCTTAAGTATGCTAGACATGAAGGGTTATAGCTTCACATCTAGCAAAGGAAATCTCAAAGTCATCCATGGAGATACGGTGATGCTACATGGACGACTAGAGGGGAATCTGTACAGGCTTGTGGAGAAGGTTGTGACAGACGGAGCTACTGTCACTTACAAGGCAAGACGTACAAGACATGCACAGAAGAGACATAGGACCCAGCAGACATGGCAACCAAAGTGTACAAGAACGCATGGAGGCAGTTCGGAGGTGCACAAGACGGAGCGATTGCGGTCAATTTTAAAGACAGCTCAGAGCAAAGAGACCAAGACAGCAAAGCATGTCCCAGGGAAGAAAGTTTCTTTTGCTCCTGAATTAGAGACATATTGGGATCTCTCCAAGACTGGATGGAAGGGAGAGATGCCATCTCAAAGAGTTGCAAAGTAAGCTTTGCATGGCACCCCAGTGAGGGGGTGCCGGGCACTCCAGGCAGGGGGTGCTATTATGGATCACCTCATATGGGTTGAGGGGGTGATTTGTAGGAGATCAACCCAAGTTGAGTTGGCTACAGAGATTCTGGCCATGTGAAGGAAAGTAGCAGCCAGCTACATGGTGGGGAAGCCATGTGAGTTGGCCATGAGGCCATGAGGCCATGAAGCAATCTGGAAAGCCACCGAAATGGGCTGGCAGCCAGCTCATTTCAAAGGGTGCTTCTTGCCTTTGTAATCTCTATATAGAGAAGCTAAGGAGAGTTGAATAGACACGGCATCATAGCAAATCAGAGAGTGTGAGAGAGTGTGTTATATAGAGAGACAGTGAGTTGAGAGTGTGTAATCTCCTCCATTTGTTGATATATAACAACATCGCTCCCGTGGACGTAAGCCGGTTTGCCGAACCACGTTAAAAGTCTTGTGTTTTTGCTTGTGAGTGTCCCCTGGTGTGCCCAAGATCCGCAACACTGTTTGGGTGATGATCTGTCTTTTGGTCTGTTCTTTTTTAGTTTATTTTTCTGTTCTTTTTCTTTCTTGTTGGTTTCTCATCAACTGGAACTTCGAGCTTGTCTTAGCTCCGATCTCCTCTTTATTGATATTCTTTATCATACCTTGTATGTTTCTATCAATAAAAATTTTTTGCCGATTAAAAAAAATATATATATATATAGGGTTGCTTATAAATAATAAATTAATTAATAAATAAAAAGCTCATTTTTGGAAGTCTATGCGAGCCTGAGCTATAAATAGCTTAAATAAATTTTACAATAATTATCATCAAAAAGTTTGTGGCGAATGGCTTTAGCTTATACTTCTGATTATTATATTTTAATTTCAGAAATGTTGAATTGAATAGGCCCTATTAGGAAACTAAGAGATAGCTATTTTTGACTTTTGTTTTCTAATTATCAACTTTTTTATTAACAATTTATGAAATAAAAATAATTTAAAAAAAAATTATTAAAAAGCAAGAGAACTAGTATTTTTAACTTTTAACTTGCAAAATATTGCACCTAGAGAGCTCTATGTAAAATTTGTCTAGCAAATATTATGTGATGTGATTGAGTTTCCAAATCATATTAATGTTTTTTTTTATGATTTTGGGTCTGGCATTTCATATATACACAGATTTATGACATTTGAAAGTGGAGGAAATCTGCAACTTAGTAGGCAAACAAGTGTGTCGTCTCTGCAACTTAGTAGGCAAACAAGTGCCAATGAAGAAACCTTTCATTGGCCAAGAAGGTCCACCAACGAAGCCTTTAAGGTCCCTTTCTCTCTTCATTTAACCTTCTTTCTTTTTTTTTTCTTTTTTTTTTTTTATAAATTTACAAAAATTCTATGCACACATAAATTAAAAACAAATTCCAGACATAATTCATATAAATAGACAAGATTTGACAAAATCTATTAAGTAAGAATTTAGAAAGAATTTGAAAAAGTAAGTGAAATATGAATGAAATATAATTACGTTTCACTCACATTTTCCATTTCTCTTTTGAAATCTTTCCCCAAATCTATGCGCCAAACATAGCCTTAGTAACACCTAGTTATTTTTTGGCAAATTACATCAATAGTCTCTGTATTTTCCCCCTTATTTTATTTTGATACCTAAGTTCAAATTTTAATCCTGAATTTTAAATTTTAGTCAATTTTGTTTGATTGATAATGCCAATTAGAGTTTTTGAAGAAAAATGATCACTGAATTAATTGGCATTAACTCATTCAATTGAACAAATTCATAATTTTTCCTATAAAAATATAACACATGACATCATATGCACATTTTCATTAAAAAAAATTACTTATAATTGTAATTAATTAGATCAAATTAAGACGAAATCAAAAATTTAAAGTCAAAACTGAGTCAATTGAAACTATAAATATCAAAATGATACATTAAGCAAAATATAGAGAGACTATTGGTATAATTTACCCTTTATTTTTTACGTCCAATTCTATTTTTACTTGTAGAAGAACTTATTGAAAATTTTATTATGGCTTTTACTCGGTCAAAGGTTCATTTCCAACTTTTTGATAACATTCCATTTGTTTGGTTCCGTAATTTCAATTTGAACTTTATATTTTGAATTTTGGTATAATGTGATTTATCCATTATATGTGATTAACATTTTGAACAAATCACATTACAACAAAATTAAAAGTGTAAAAGTCAAATTGTTTAAATTGAAACTACAGAGATTAAAATGACATTTCACTTAAATTATAGAAACAAATAGCTTAATTTATCTTTTGTAAAATAATGGCATATTATTTAATATTTGAGCATGTTATGATCATATTGTGAATGATAACAAAGTTTATAGCAGCCGTGGTTCCAAACCGAACCGAATCGTATTTTCATGGCTCAATTTGGTTCGTATTTAAGATTTTCATGATTCGATTTGATTTCAAATTTCATGAAACCATAAGTAGTAATTTGGTCTTAATTTACTTCAAAATCTAACCATGCTCACCCTAGATATTGCAACTACGTAAAATGTAGAAAGTTGACTTACAATTGATAATGAAAAGAGCAAAGCGAGATTTTGATAAAAATGTAGAAGTATAAAATGTAATTTAGCCTTCTTTTAAGGGACAAATTAGGCCCCAATGAAATTTTCAAAAAATAATTACATATTTATAATAAAAAAAATTAAAATTTTAATTAATTTTTTTTTATATAAAATTTATCACTAATATATATATATATATATACATTTTTGTAGAGTGTGGTCAGTGCAATAGCAAGTAACGAAGCGGTGTGGCGTGAAGTACTGAGGATGAAAGAAGTACAGAATTTTCTACGGGAGTTCAACCCAGGTTTTTTTATTATTTATTTTTGATTTCTTAATTTTTTATGGGTAAATAGTTTCAGTATGAATAATTTGACTTTTACACTATTAATTTTGTTACAATGTGATTCCTCCCTCACTCAAAGGATTCAAGTAGAATTTAAATCAAATAAATTACACTTGTGACTCCTTTAAGATCTTTTAAATTTTACTTTGATCTATTTAGTTTTTTATAAGTGATACTTTTTCATTCAAAATATCAATAGTGCATGATGGTAAAACTACATTATAACAAAATTAAAAGTATTGGATTTAAATTGTTTAAATTAAAATCACGAGAACCAAAAATATATATATAATTATACTTATCTCATTAGTTATTTATTTATTTTAAACAAAGGGAGCTGCCGGAGGACATCTCCAAGAAGAGAAATAATGAGGAGGAATACAGGAAGAACTCCAACCTGTGGGTGTGGGATAAACATAAGCATAAGCATAAGACCAATGCTATTGAAAATTGCTGAAGCACTGAGAAATAAACTTGGATCATTTCTTGAAGAGGTTAACTCCTCTTCCTCTATGTGCACCGATGACAATGTAGTTTTTCGCCTCATCCTCACTGTCACCGCCTTAATCTTGGAAGTTGCTCTTCGCCGCTTGGAAAGACTTTCACTCTCTTTTAACTCTCCTGGTTCTGTTCCTCCTACTCCTACTCCTGTTCATGGTGGTGGAGAAGGAGAAAATTGAACAATTAAAGTGACAGGTACAAACACAGAAACCGATCATGGAATCGAACACAAAATGTATGCAGATGGACAAGATTCGACAAATTTTGTAAAATCTAATTCATTTATGTTTATTTTGTATTCCTTTCTATATTTAGTTTCTTTCTGTCTTCTATAAATTAAAGATTGATGAAGTTTGATTGATGATATTGAGGCCTAAATAATTGAACAACCCTAGTTACACTGCTGGAAAATCGATTTTTTGCGGCGTTTTAAAAACGCCGCTATAGGTACTAAAAACGTCGCTAATTCTTTTTGTGACGTTTAGTACCAGACGCCGAAGACGCGCAAAGTGCAAGGCTATATATATATATATATATAATATTGGGATTTGCTTTTACTATAATGTTACAAAACTCGAAATATGTCATCTGCGAAGTTCTTTATTATTATAGAATACAGTGTATGAATTAGATTTAAACTTTCTGACTACTCTTGCATTTTTCTACTTTCTCTTATTTTGTGACAAAAATCAATATTTGAAAAGAAATCCATTGAACATAACAACTTCTAACTCAATGCTATTTTTTTTGATCAGCAAAAAAAAACTTTATTGATGAAAGAGGCATAGAACATGCAGAATTATATCAACAAAGCAGGGGAGTGCAGAGAGCATCATAGCTAAACTTAACGATCCCAACTAGGTTGGCACCGCAAAGAAAGCGCAATCATATGCTAGCACTCGACCCGAGATTGGTGAGGAGCCAACCAAGGGCACCCAAAAAGAGGGAACCCAAAGCAAAAAAAACAAAACCTAAGAAACCAGCAGACCAACCCAGCAGACTAAGCAACTAACAAGCAGAAACAACCCTGCACCAACAGTGACCTCAACTGATAACCTCTTCTGATATCCTCAACACAACAACAGTAGCATCACAACAGAACAGATTAACCTCTACTGATACACCTTCTAATCTGAGGGAGATTGAAAGTGCACTGAGCATCATAGCTAATCTCAACAATCTCAACTAGGTTGGCACCGCAAAGAAAGCGCAATCATATGCTAGCACTCGACCCGAGATTGGTGAGGAGCCAACCAAGGGCACCCAAAAAGAGGGAACCCAAAGCAAAAAAAAAAAAACAAAACCTATGAATCCAGCAGACCCTGCAACAAAACCATCCAACTAACAAGCAGAAACAACCCTGCAACAACAGACCAACACAACACAGCAGACCAACACATCACAGCAGATTGACCTCCACTGATAACCTCTACTGATATCCTCAACACAACACAGCAACACAACTCATCACAGCAGACCAACACATCACAACAGAACAGATTAACCTCTACTGATACACCTTCTAATCTGAGGGAGATTGAAGACAAAATCATGAATAGGATACTGCCACTGCCTAGAAGTTGTACTTAGCCAAAGAGCCACTCTATACTTAACTAGATCAGAGAGAATCTCTACATCAACTACTGCGTTATTGAATACACAGTCATTTCTTTGCTTCCAAAGAGACCAAAGGGTTACAAGAGGGATACATCTCCAAATCACCTTCTCTCTCTTCTAAAACTTACCACCCTCCCACCACTGTAACAAACAATCAACTGTACCAGGCATTGCCCAAGACAGACCCCACCAATCAAGCAAGGACGACCATGCCATCCACACAAAATGGCAATGAAGGAGCACATGTAACACCGACTCCTCATCATACTTACAGAAGCAACACAGGATAGAAGTTCCTCCAGGGAGGACCTTTATTTTTTGAAGGAACACAGAGGTCTTAATCTTATGCTTCCAAGCGAGCCAGCCAAAAAACTGGACTTTAGGGAGTAAAACCTTATTCCACAGCATTCTAGGAGCTCCCAGTTGATTTCCAACTCCACTGGAACAATGCTTATACAGAGAAGCTACTGAAAATAGACCTGATGATGTGGCTGACCACTTAGGGTAATCAACTCTCTCCAACCTAATTAAGGGACCAGGAGAGATAATAGAAACCAGTCTCAGCAAATCAACTCTTTCCTATTCAAACAACTCTCTTCTGAATAATAAGTTCCACTCCCCTGAGGATGCCTTTAGATCAACAAAAAGTCTAAGAGCACCTTCTTTTCTTTTGACAAGCTGAACAGTCTAGGAAATTCAACTCTCAAACAGTGGCCATCACACCACAAATCCTCCCAAAATCTTATTCTACAGCCATCTCCCACCTGCACGTTGAAATTATTAAGAAAACACTCCAACATGGAGGGGTAAAAAGAGGCCAGTGATGTAATATCTCGCCATAATTTTGACTGCTTCCAGCTATCACCAGAAATCGGCAACCAGCAGCACTCATCAATGTTGTATTTACTGCAAATTACTTTTCTCCACAGAGCTTTTGACTCACAAGCAAACCTCCACCACCACTTCAGTAGCAAGCAGGAATTAGCAACTCTAACCTTCCTAACACCCAACCCTCCATTTTCAATACTATTGGTAACCTCCTCCCATTTGACTAGATGAACCTTCCTTTTGAGATCCGAGCCACCCCATAAAAAAGCTGCTTGCATTCTTTCAAAATCCTTAGCCACACCCTCCGGCATTCTAAATAAAGATAAATAGTAAACTGGTAAGCAAGAGAGAGCAGACTTAATCAAAACCAACCTACCCACAAAGGACAACATTCTCCTCTTCCAACCTGCCAGCCTAGCCTTAACTTTCTCAAGAACTAGAGTCCAGGACTTCCTTTTGCTAGGACTAACCCCCAAAGGGAGCCCAAGATAACTCAAAGGTAATGAGCCAGTCTTGCAATTCAGCTTGGCAGCAAACTCTACCAGGACAACAGAATCCACTCCTACTCCACAAACCACACTCTTGTGATAATTAATTTTCAACCCTGATACTAGTTCAAAACAACGACGGATCCTTTTTACATTGACTATTTCCCCTTCATCAGCCTCACAGAATAGGATAGAATCATCTGCAAATTGCAAATGAGACACTAGAACATCATTAACCCCAACCCTAACACCCTTGATTAAATTCAAATCTAGAGCTCTGGACAAAAGGACATTCAGGCATTCTGCCACAATAATGAATAGAAAAGGTGAGAGGGGGTCACCCTGCCTTAGCCCTTTTTGGGGAGAGAATTCTTCAGTTGGAGAACCATTCACAAGGACCGAAAGCCTAGCAGTGGACACACATTCCTTAATCCAAGCAATCCACTTATCACCAAAACCGAATCTGGACAACAAAGAGAAGAGGAATTCCCAATTAACAGAATCAAAGGCCTTTTCAAAATCGAGTTTCAAAATCACACCCTTCCTTTTGGCTTTTTTCCACCCATCAACAACCTCATTTGCTATAAGGACTCCATCCAGAATATTCCTGCCACGAAGGAAGGCAGATTGAGCTTCGCTAATTATTTCGGGCAAAACCTTACTAAGTCTACATGATAACACCTTTGATAAAATTTTGTACAGAGACCCTACAAGACTTATGGGCCTAAAATCTTCCAACCCCCCTGCATTCTCTTTTTTAGGCACTAAGGTTATAAAAGAACTATTGATGCCCCTAACCAGTTTACCATGAGTATGAAATTCCTTCATAAATTGGATCACTTCCCCCTTCATCAACTTCCAATGCTTCTGAAAGCATAAAAGGTTAAACCCATCAGGGCCTGGAGCTTTGTTCCCATCACAATTTTTTATGGCCTCCCATAGTTCTTCCTCTGCAAATTCTGCTTCTAACATTTCGAATGCCTGACTATTCCTAACAGATCTGAAAACACCATCGAGGGATGGTCTGACTTTCCAATCCTCTGAGAAATGCTTCTTAAAGTGACTACACACTTCTAGTTTAACTTCTCCAGGATCTTCAACCACCCTATTCCCAACAGTAACAGAATAGAGCCCATTCTTGCTTTGTCTACTGGTGGCCATTACATGGATGTATCTGGTATTCTTATCCCCCTTCAAAGCCCAGTCGAGTCTCGCTTTTTGGAGCCATATCCACTCAGCCCTTCTACTTAGCTTCCAAACTTCACTATTCACCACATTTCTCCTAGCCTTTTCCGAATCTACTAAAGCTCTTGTTTCTGCTAGCAAATCAAGCTTGTTCAACTCCTCTTCAGCATTCTTGAGTTTAGCTGAGACATCCCCAAAAACTTCTCTATTCCAATTTCGCAAAGCCTCTCTAAGCAATTTAAGTTTGCTTTGAAGAATGAAACCAGCCCACCCATCTACTCTTGCCTCCTTCCAAACTTTCTCGAAAAAAGTTGAGAACTGATGGTGTAACAACCAGGCATTGATGAATCTAAAAGGTCTAGGGCCCCAATCCCTCTCCTCCTCCATGAGGATTAAAGGGCAGTGATCTGATAAAATTCTAGGCAAACCCCACAATTTGAGTTTAAAAACTTCTAACCATTCAGGATTTACAAGGAACCTATCTAACTTGCTCCACTTAACCCCTTCTTGTGCGCTGCACCAAGTATACTTCCTTCCCAGCAAAGGAACTTCAGACAAGCTTCTAATCTTACATTTTTTCTCCCTTCTACCCAATCCTCTGCAATTCCATGATAGAATCTTCATTAGAGGAAAATCTGTCGCTGGATCCCCTCTAAACAGAGCCCAACTCACGACCGCTGGCACCCTCTCATCCGCCCCATGTCCTTTAGTTCCATTTCTGAAAACTTCCTTAAGGCCTCCGCTTCTTTCCCTTCGTAATTAATCCCTAACAGCCTCCCCATTTGAAGAGTAGCACGAGCTTCTTCCCGGATTGATCTCTCTTCCCCTGCGCTGCTGCCAGACGAAGTGGAGGGCACTGAAGTTGCCACCGTCGGCCTGAAAATGCCTCCCTTGGACCCTTTCTTACTAGCTGATGCATTTAGTTGGTTCATACTTCTAACAAACCCAGAAAAACCACGGATTTGCTTTTGATTGTGATGCCCCAAATTCTTTTTCTCGCCCCTCTTTCCATTGCCCTTCGAGATTTCCTTCTCTTTTAGCATTGCCTTCCTCAGTTTAGACTGACTGGGTTCGGTGCATAACACAATAGGCCTACTCTTAATGGATTCCTCATTGGGCCTATCTGCCCCGGTCTTATTTGGTGGACATTGCTCAGGGTCTGTCCTAACCACAGCCTCTGGAGGCCCACA